CGTGGCAGACAGCTCGATCTCGATCGTGAAGGTCTGCTGTTGCAAGTTCTTCAGCGTGAGAACCACCATTTTCGCCCCGTGTTGCTCTGCTAATCCCCCTCGACACAGCCTTGTTTGTTTCACTCCTGCTGAATAACAGCAGCCATGAGCCGTGACGTCACATCCGGTATGTCGGGTTCCAATGTTCCTCGCAGCTACAGGGCGGCGCAGAAGCCTCCCCGCGCGCCTCTCCCTCGCCTCGGCTTAATCTCCTGCCACATGCTTAGCGATTAACGATCGATGGGAATTAAACTTGGGCTACGACGAATGTCCAATTTGATATTATGCAGAGTTAAAAAAAATGGCAATTGGTAACTTTTGCAGACCGTTAGCATTCCTTCAGAAATAGCTGGACCTTTGTCCCTGGTTACCAATGAATTAAAAAGTTCTAGGCCTAAAATAAGTTCTTTGTCCCTCGAGAAAAAAGAGAATGTGAAACACATTGCTGGCATTCTTTTTATTGGGCATTCAGTGCCAACAGACAGCATCATATGATGTAGAAGAAGCCAAAAGGTACATGCAGTACGCTTTTTTATCGGAAAAAGATCATACGACAGGCAAATAACTTGCATATATTCACATATGTATCTGTATATCCACTATAGTGATGTTACTATTTATTTCAGTGAAAACTCGACATGCGAATCTTGCTGATAGACAATTTCATGCTATTATCCAATAGATAATAGATGACTTTTATAGTAATTAATTTTGCATACAGGTTTCACTGCAGATGAAAATGTGAATATATCAAGTACAAAGTATGGTTATTGTTGTGATCATTATTGATTATTATTATTATTGCTATCATTAATGTCATTATTATTATTGTAATTATTTTTATTTTCTTTATTATTGTTATTATCATTACAAAGTATGGTTATTGTTGTTATCAATGTTGATTATTATTGTTGCTAATATTAATATCATTATTATCATTATCATTATTATTATTATCTATGTTATATATTTATTATCATTATGATTCTTACATTATTATCATCAATACTATTATTATTATTATTGTTATTACTACTATTATGATTATCATTATCATTATTATCATTATTATTATTGTTATTATTATTATTATTATCATTATTAATAGTATCATTATCATTATTATTATTGTTATTTTTATTATCATTATCATTATTATTATATGTGTATATATATTTTTTTTTCCTTATTGTTGTTGTTATTATCATCATTCTTTATTATCATCATTATCGTTAACAGCATTTTTATTATCACAGTAATAAATGTGTGTGTGTGTGTGTGTGTGTGTGTGTGTGTGTGTGTGCACACACACACACACACATAATAATAATGATGATAAAAATAATAGTAAAAGGAATATACTATATAATAATAATAATAATAATAATAATAATAATAATAATAATAATAATAATAATTATTATTATTATTATTATTATTATTATTATCCTAATTATTATTACCATTATTATTATTATCATTATTATTATTATTATTACTATTATTATTATTATTATTATTCTTATTATTATCATTATTATTAGTATTACTGTTATTAATATCATTATTAGTAGTATTACTATTATTATTATCATAATTATTATTGTCATTATTAGTACTATTACTGCTATTATTATCATTATCATTATAATAATAATAATGATAATAATAATAATAATTATTATTATTATCCTAATTATTATTACCATTATTATTATTATCATTATTATTATTATTATTATTATTATTATTATTATTATTATCATTATTATTAGTATTACTGTTATTATTATCATTATTAGTAGTATTACTATTATTATTATCATCATTATTATTGTCATTATTAGTACTATTACTGCTATTATTATCTGTTATTATTATTATTAATATTATCATTATTATTATAGTTATCATTGTTATTATTATCATTATTATTATTATTATTATTATTATTATCATTATTATTATTATTGTCATTATTATTGTTATTGTTATTATCATTATTATCATTATCATGATTATTACTGTTATTTAAATTATTATCATTACTATTATCATTAATATTATTTCTACTATCTTATTATTGTTATAATAATAATAATGATTATTATCATTATTGTCATTTTTATTGATATCATCATCTTTGTTCTCATTATCATTCTATCTCCTATCATGAACATCATCATCAGCATCATCATTACCATTATCATTTAATCGTCATTATCATCATAACCATTATTATATAATCGTCATTGTCATTATAAATTTCAGCCTTATGATTATTCCATGTAAGCAGTAATTGTTTATAAATACTAACCTTTCATATACAAATAAATAATAATAATAATAAAAAAGTAAAACGGCTATCCGGAAAAAAAGTGCGCTGTACGTTTTTCGCCTTGAAAATAATTAGTACAAGTTGGTTATCAGGTTCATTAGCACACTAAATTGGCGTTTTAAGAAAACTTTCTGAGAATTTGTTTGACTTCGCTATCCTGTTCATTATTCAGCGTTTGAAACCGATATATGGATAGTCTATATCGGTAAACAAACATACTTACATACATACATACATATATATATAATACACACACACACACACACACACACACACACACACACACACACACACACACACACACACACACACACACACACACACACACTAACACACACTAACACACACACACACACACACGCACATACACACATATATGTGTGCGTCTGTGTATATATATATGTGTGTGTGTGTGTGTGTGTGTGTGTGTGTGTGTGTGTGTGTGTGTGTGTGTGTGTGTGTGTGTGTGTGTGTGTGTGTGTGCGTGCGTGTGTATGTGCATACATACATACATACATACAAACACATACACACATACACACATACACACATGCACGCAAGCACGCATGCACGCTCGCACGCACGCACGCACGCACGCTCGTATGCATGCGTGCACACTCGCACGCACACACGCTTGCACGCATGCACGCACGCAAGCACGCAAGCACGCACGCTCGCACGCGGGCTTACACACACATTTATATAAATGTATATTCTATAAATCTGCAACTATAGTTAATAAGAATCACGTTACAATATTTCCATATTAGTGTGTGAGCTTATTTTTGTTAGAAAGGATTTTTACATAGTTTGGTTTACTATTACTATTTTCTGACAAAGTCAGATAATTCTGGTAATGAAACATATTAAATCTTACTGCATCGGATTATAAAACCCACCCAAAGTAAATTACGGGACCTATTTTGACTTGCAATACTGAGGGGTAAAGTTTTGGAGAATATGATCTTTCAATAAATCGAAAAATAATGCAGTTCATTATACCTTAAACTTGACATCCGACTTTGATTTCCAGATCATGCTTTCCGCTTTAGTGTGACTCATGATTGGGCAAACACTAACAAAAGTTATAAACTTTTTGATTGACTCTGTTGAACAAAACCCGATGAGTTGCTTAACTCTAAATTACCTATTTCCAAGACAAATCAGTCCATACTTATCCCTATTAAAACGAATTGAACCTCAGTATTTTTTATTGGAGGCATCAACGCCCCTAAAGAACGCAAAAGGCTAGTAGAGAGGCTAGTAGTCATTTTTAGAAGACCTCGCTTGGAGAGGTTCAAGAGTTAGGTTTCGTCAACAAGGCGAGGAAGAAGCGAAGGCCCCTCCGTGGAAATGTCCGCTCAGGTTCCCTCCGATCAGAGCAAGGCGAAAAGTAAGTCGGTGGAAAGCCAAGGGGCGGAGGGAATGCTCCAAGACCAATTAAATTTTTTTAGGGATTTGGAAAGAGGAACGAGTCGTGGAGGGGGGGGAGGGGGGCTTAAGACTCCTGTGGGAGGGCAGGACGAGGAAGGCCTCCGACAGCCTCAATGCGAAATGAAACCCCTTTTCTGTCCCCAAAAAAGATGTTACGGAACTCTTGTTGTTTTCTCATACGAAATGGTGAAGCGGCAATTATGCATATAGCACAAATCTCTAAGTAAAAGGGTCTGGAAAGCTCGCCAAACGAAGGGAACTCCAGTAGAGTCCCTGTCACGAATGTCACCATGACGACTTCGATTGATTTATTATTAGTTTTTTTCTCATTAATTCCGCTTCATGCTTGACACAGTAAAGCCACTTGGTGTTTATGAATATGGAATGGGTCTGTTTAAATGTATACTGCGTTCTTAAGAATAAAGAGAAGGAACTTTTAAAGTAGGAAAGGAATCTCCTTTACTATGGTATTTAATATATACAATACAATTAATTGAGCACATTAATGGGAGTTAATCAAAACGTTCTCTGTAAATGGGCATACTTAAGCAAATTACTGTAAATGATGAAGAACTAGTATCACAGACCCTCAGTTATATCTCGTTCAAGGTCATTTGTAAATCCCAGCTGTGAGGGAAATAGAAACGCTACAAGCAATGCTCCAAATATTCGGAAAGTGACAACCTGTTGCTTTCCCGTGAGTGTAAATGAAACAGTATGTGGGGCAGATATTCATGCAAGGTATTTATTGTTTATATACAAATTAAATCATTTTGATTTGTAGATTTGGCTTCAATACTACATATTTTTCCTTGTTTGTGCTATGCTTCATTATTTGGATTAGGGAAATGATTATTGCTGAATACAATCTTGTCAGTACTTGTTTAAACGATTGGATGGCAAAGCTGTGAAATACAGTAAACTTAACGATGTGACAGAATGATGGTTGGTCATGGTGTCGAGTGAAAACAGACTTTTGTGATAATTTCCAAATGTCATCTATTGTATTAACATATAAAGTAAATATGTAAGTCAGTACAGCTGTACTAATGAAAGAAAATGAGGGCTAATGAGTAATGTGGTTTAATGGGAGTTTACATATGTAGAGTACATTATGTTGCAATAATGTTTCAAAATTTGTTCATTTTCTATTATATCTCATAATTTTTTGTCATGAAGTAAGATAACT